GGGGGTGGGGGAAGGGGGTTCGGGTTTGGGTACTGGGTTGGGTAGTACGGGTTGGGTGTTTGGTACTGGGTATGTGGCGGGGTAGGGTATTGGGCTGGGTGCGGGTAGTGGGCCACATGGGCCTGGGCCGGGTAGGGGAGTAGGGTCGTGGGCCTAGAAGGCCGAGTGAGGGGGTGGGGAACTGCCAGGTATTTGGGCCGGGTTGTCGCTGATTCGGGCCGCCACGTCCACGTCCACGGCCACGCCCTCGATAGCCGCCAGAGTTTCCCCGATTTGTGCCGCCAAAACTGCCTCGTCCAGAGTTGCTGCCCTGCCGTGACTGACTGCCGCCCGTCGAGGAACTGCCGCCGCCGTTGAAGCTGAGGAGGGCGGTTGACGGGCCGGCGCTGGGGAGGGCTTCAGCCTGCTGTTGTTCGACCAGGAGGAGGGCCGAGCGGACTTCCAAGAACGTCGGGAACGGATTTTGGTACTGCAAAAAGTGGACCTGTCCCCGAATGTCGTGCGGCAATCCTTGAAGAACTTGTAGTACAAGAGCGTGCTCGGTCACCGGAGCGTCGACGTCATCAAGGTAGTCGGCTAGGTTTTTGAGAGCATGGCAATATTCATTTATTGTCTTCGTCCCTTTGACGGTGGTGCGGAAACGGTGCTCCAGTTGCAATATTCATTTATTATCATGGAACAATTTGTAGATGGCTTTCCATAGAGCAGCGGCGGTGGGGCTGTTTGCAAGAATGAGATCGGAGACCTCGTCGGAGACAGTAGACAAGATCCATCCTTGAAGTAGAGCGTCGAATTGATACAATTCTGCATCATCGGCCGATTTTGCGATGGTGGTCCCGTCAAGGTATCCCATGAGATTGAAGCGGAGAACGAGGAGGCGAAAGAGTCGGCTCTATTTTTTGTAGTTTGGTTCCGAGATGCTAAGCTGGACGGGAATATGGAGCTTGATGTTTGATATTGTTGTGAAGGCAAGATGGGGAGATTTGATGGTGTTGTTATCGTCGGAGGTGACGGAGGATTTTTCGGCCATGGTTGCCGGCGAGGGGGGACTGCCGAAGAAGGAGAGGAGGGACGGCAGAGAGAGGGAGATCGCCGAAAGAGAGAGAAGGCCGAGAGAGGGCTAGGGTTTGAGAGGGAGCCGAGATGTTTTAATGCTCCGATACCATGAAGAATGAATATTTTCTATTGATTATCATGTGTGAATACAAGGGACATTATATAGTAGAGTATTTCTAGTTATAATAGGAAACCTACCATGTTAGGAATCCTTAATTAATAAGGACTATACATGTATGGAAACTACAATATACACAAGATACTAAATATATACTTTATATATTTAACACTCGTCCCTTGCCTGGCCACATGTCCTATAATTGTGTCCCAAACTTTTACAGCTGCTGCATCTTTTTGTACCATGATCGAAACCTTTTTTTTGCAATTATGTCATCCAGGCATTCCCTTCGTTTATGTTTTTTGGGTCTTCCAACCTTTCTTAACTCGCTTGGAGCATACAATTTAGGCAATGGTGATTCCCCCCACATACAAGGATCCGGGATATGATGTATGATCCCATCGTACAAGCCTTTATAGTTTTCAACAGAAAACCATTGGGAGCAATGTAACGAGAAGCTGGAGGACTACTGCTCCCAATGGTTTTGGGTTGCTGTGTGCTGACCGTGGAGACAAAACAGAAAAACAGAGAGCAAAAAAAAATAGAGAAGAGAGGGAGAAAGACTTGTGCATATTTTTTAGACCAGCCGCACAAAGGGGGTTGAGAGGTATTGAATATACCGTCATTTACTAACTTATAGCTGTTTTCCGATCTATTTGGCCGGAATATAACCCACTGAGTAATTACAATAAATTTTAAATGCCTTGGTGTGCTTTACAAAAATTGAGGGACCTGGGAGTCATTACAACAAAACCTATGTCACCTCCCAGTAATTTTCTGAAATTTAATGTGTACAATTAATTATTAAAGCTTGTCAAGTTTAATTTGAAAAATTCAAAAATAAATAAATACAGCCAGACAAATAAGAGATACTCCCTCTGTTCTCAAAAACATTTTTCTTTCATTTTTTCCACTTCCAACAAAACACTTCCACTTTCTATTAAAAGACCATTTTTACCATTATTTTTTCATACCATACCTATCACATCATACTTTTTCTCTAATAATCTATCCATCACATCTTACTTTTACCCATCACATCAGGAGCAAAATTGGAAGTCAACTATAATTTAGTATTTCCTTATTTTGGCTCCAAGTCAAACTAGGATGCCTTTTTGCAAACGGATGGAGTATATATGATGAATATGGCAATTGCATTCTCCGGCCAGTATAGTCAATAATATAATACTTCGTTCATAATACACGCGCAGGGGCGGAGGGAGGGGGGGCACGCCTGGGCAAGTGCCCCCCCGGCGAAAATCCGGCGAAATAGGAATAGGGTAACTGATCGAAAATCCGGCGAAATAGGAGGCCGGATTTGCCCCCCCGATTGTCGCAGCGACGCAGGTCATGCTTGGATGCTCCAACAGTCCATAGCCGATCGAAGAGAAGAAGAATCAGTCGATGGAAAAAAAAAGGAAAATGACGTCGTTTTGCTGATGGGTTTAAAAAAATTTATTTGACCCTGCCAAATACTCGGCCCAACAGCCCAAATGCGAAAATGCCCAATTGTCCAAAAAAAGGGAGTGGCAGATTAGACATAGCAGAAACGGCGAAGGCATTTAGCAATCACCGGAGAAGAAATCCAAACGCAGTGGCGCAATAGGCTGTGCTTCTTCATCCAAAACTTCCGATATTTTCTCAATCTCTGATTTGTAGGACCTCAGGCGCTACCAACTCTTCTAAAACCAATTGGTGTTAGAAGAGGCGCATACCTTAGCCTTATAGTGCATTCAGCACACAAGCGCCCATGACATTCGATTGTGACTTGGCCCACATAGCCTCCGCCACGGGACAATTGCTGCACACATGGCCAACAATCTCCCCCTCAGCAATTGCTCCCGCTGGGAATCGAACTCGTGACCTTGGCTCTGATACCACTTGTAGGACCTCAGGTGCTACCAACTCTTCTAAAACCAATTGGTGTTAGAAGAGGCGCATACCTTAGCCTTATAGTGCATTCAGCACACAAGCGCCCACGACATTCGATTGTGACTTGGCCCACATAGCCTCCGCCACGGGACAATTGCTGCACACATGGCCAACATGATTGTCTAGGTATATATATGTAAATTTTAATTATCTAATTTTGAGATTTGTTTATTAATATTTGAAATTTTTAAATATTGCTAAATTATGTTTTGAATTTTGAATATTTATTTTGTTCTGTGGTTCTAGTGTGTTGGTTGATATTTAAATATTTGATAAATTTTAATGTAATTTCAAGTTCTAGAGATTAAGAAATATGAAATTGTTGTTTTAAGGTTATTGAAATTTTATTTTGTTACTTTATTATTGAATCTGGAAATTTTAAGACATGAGATGGATAAATTTGTTATTAGACAAAAGAATAATTTAAAATTTGTAAGTGATAGACACAATGAAAAAGAAGCTTCTTCTTCTATAGAGAAAGAAAGTGTGGTTTATAATGATGATATTATTGCTGATCCGGGATTACGAAAACCAATTAATAATTTTCCATTGGAAATTAGAGATGTAATAAGGAGAAGATACTTAGCAAAAGGTCCTTGTAAGCCATCGATGGATAAATTTCCACAAAGTATGACGGGCAAGAACAAAAGGTCCTTCTGCGATGAATATTGTCAAGACTGATTTACGCAACCGTTTGGGAGATGAGCTTTTATCATGTTTGTTATGGTACTTTGAGAAAGAAATTTTTAGAAGCATTGATGATGAAATTATTATGCAGCGCTTTCAAAAGTTGGCATTTCGAAAAAAATTCCTACGGCCTCAAGCAACTATTACTCTTTTGCACAAATAGAAGGTATGTTTACTTGCACTTTGCCAATTAAGATACTTACGATTATACTCCCTCCGTTCCACTAAACCCTTCCCCTTTCGTTTTTTTTGAATTCCTTAAAACACTTCCACTTTCTATTAAAAAACCACTTTTACCCTTACTTTTTCATACCCTACCTATCACATCATACTTTTTCCCTAATAAACAAACTATCACATCTTACTTTTACCCATCACATCAGGGGCAAAATTGGAAAGTCAACCCAAATTACACTTTCTTTATTTTTGCCAAAAGTCAAAAGTGGAAGTGTTTAAAGGAACGGAGGGAGTACTATTATGTATTTTGTTTATTTATTAAATGAATTTTTGCCCCCCCATGAATTCTCCCCTGGCTCCGCCACTGTACACGCGTAGTTCATCTAATTTGTAAGTCTTAAATATATTGATACATGCATGCATGCACATTATAGTAATTAATAATAAGGTTATTATTTCAATAAGTAGCATAATATATATATATATATATATATATATATATATATATATATATATATATATATATATATATCTCGACGTCTTCGATCGATCATCAGCTGTGTACGTGAACGATCGGCTGACAGTTGGATGTAAAATATAAAGCTTCTGGATTTCAGGTACGTAAGTGCATTAGGGCAGGGTTGGTCGTCGCTAATTTAATTACTTTGAGGTATTGGGCATGATTTTCTTAACATCTGAGATCTTGAATGGCTTGATCAAGAAATCTTGAGCTCCTCTTTCCTTGCACCTGCATGCATGGCAGTTTAACGTTTACTTAGTTTATAACGTTAAAGTTCCCAAACTTTGACTATATTTAGACTTTTCCTCAAAAACCTTCTATTGTTTAATTAAAAAACTACATTTACCCATATTTGTTTTACCTTACATATCACATCAAACTTTTTTCACCAATAGTGTACTTATTCCATATTACTTTTACGTATCACATCAAACCCAAAATTGAAAAGTCAACCACATTATATATTCCTTATTTCTTCCATTGGTTAAAGTAGGGAGTGTTTATAGGAACGGACGGAGTATATTAAAATGACTGAATTAAAATGAGTAAATATCCAAATTAGGTTTATCTTATTATTTAAAGTTTTCATAATTTTATTTATTTGTAGTCTACTCTATTTTAAAATGACTAAAATTAGATTTATCCTGTTTAAAACTTTTATTATTTTATTTATTTATATTAATATAGTATAAAATTAAGAATAATTAATTATTATACTTTATCAAGTTTGACTCAAAAAAATTAAATAAGACGGATATTTTAAAAGGGAAGGAATATATATGGAGTAGTAACAAAGTAAAGAGGGAGTACGTACTCATTGATTCGTGCGGGGAGATTGTCTGATGACAGTATCACTACAGGAATGTGTTTCGTGGATGGCGATGCCTGTCGTCATTTATTTATCATTTCAACGATGATTAATTTTTTACATAATTATTTAATTTGTTGTTAATAAAGTATTATAGATTACCGTGTCAACATTTACCTTGACAAGTTTAAGCAGTTCGTAGCCAGTCATCCCCGGCATGCTATAGTCCGTTACGATTAAGTCCACCTTCGGTGCCTGCATGCACTTAGTTAATTAATTACCGTCATAATAAATCACATACTTTTGATATATTATAAACATTTTTATAATAAATTTTTGTAAACAAATAGAGATATTAATTAATGGAATGATTAAACTATTAGAAATTAGAAATTAGAAAAAGTACTCAAAATGAAAGGTTTGTGCATTGAAAAGATTACCAAAGTGGCGAGCAATTCGAGTGCCTTGTGTCCACAATCTGCAGTCGTCACTGCAAGTTCAAGAAAGACCACCACCACCATTTATATGTTATACCCACCCACCAAATTAATTAATTAATTATTACTTCCTATTATAATCATTAATTAATACGGAGTAGAATTTATTTAAATAGCACTAAAACATAATGACTTTCCCTAAATAGCATCACATGTGTTTTTCTTCCCAATGTAGCACTTTTAGTCATTATGCATTAGTCATTATTCAAGTAAAAATTTGTCATCACTGGACATTATGGACATTACTAAGTACTCCGTACTATTTAGGGAATAAAACAATTTAAATGCTATTTAGAGAAGTGAAATTTGCACTAAATAGGACTAAAACATAATGACTTTCCTAATGTAGGATTTAAACTTTTTTATTCCCTAAATAGGACTTAATAATGACCTTGTGGGAGGAATAATGTCTAGTAATGATAGACATTACTTGAATAATGACTACTTGATAATGACCAAAAGTCCTACATTGAGAAATAAAAACATATAGTCCTATATTGAGAAAGTCAATATGTTTTAGTCCTATTTATGTAAATTACTCAAATATGACTTAAGTTTTAGTGCTATTTAATGCAAATATTTCTAATTATAGTAATTGTATATAGGAAACATATAAAGAGTATATATGTATATAGATGCACACAGACACCTTGACAATAAGAGGCTTGAAAAATCCTCTCAATCAGCTTCCGATCTGATGCACAGTCATCCACAGCAAGAACATGCACCTGCGGCGGCTTCTTCTCCTTGGTCGGAGATGATGTCGCCGACGAGGATCGCGACGAGTTAGCTGATGATGATGAAGATCCTGCTGCTTTTTCCATTTTTCTTTAATATTTTTCTAATTACTAATTAATAATCACTCACTTGCTAATAATTAATAAATTAGCTCTCTAATTAATAGAAGAAGATTAATAACTTAGCTATATGTTGCTTTATTATAAGTTTATTGGTTAATAAGATTGGGATAGAAGTGGGTATGTGTATATATAGGGAGGGGGTGAGAATCAATTTTAGTCTGGCCTTTGGAAAAATACCAGAGAATCAAATTAATATCTAAGGGGGGGAATAGATGGAGAAAAAATATAAATCCTGATGAGAAGATCATAAAATATATCGCATCAGATGTGGACAGATGAGAGAGAGAGATAGAGATAGATATTCTGTGGGGAGATCTTTTTAATTTAATGTGGTCACGTACGTCGTACTACTAGTAGCGAGCTGCTCTATACTGCTGCATGCATGCATGGGATGGATTATTTCTTGAGTAACTAAAACATAAATACTTTTTCAAAATAAGATCATATGTTTTTATTTCCAATGTAGGACCATTGGTCATTATCTATTAGTCATTATTCAACTAAATGTCCAGAATCATTTGGACATTATTCTTCTCACTAGTCATTATTAAGTCCTATTTAAGGAATAAAAAAGTTTAAGTCCTATATTGGAAAATGACTTATGTTTTAATCCTATTCAATGCAAATTTCACTTCTTTCTTTTCTTTTATGCTATCTATATACAGCATGCATGCCCAGTCCCCGACTATGACCCGACAACGAATAAGTAGACTAAAAGTTTGGGAATATCAAAATTTGATCCATCACAATTAAATTTTAAAGCTAACTCAATTAATATTAAAGACTAAAAGTTATTAGTATTTAGTCTCTTGATAATTATTGTTTCCGTGTGTATATTTTTTCATTAGTCATTTGATAAAAAAAATATTCTTATCTCATCTTATTTTATAGAAATTTTAATCTTATTTTTAAATATTTACTTTGTACTTTTTATTCATATGCAAATTTATTGATAAAATCATTTTTTTGAAACCGATAAAATCATTTTTAAAAATATAGATTTTTACGTTATCCGAAGAGTGTAAATAAATTTGAGACACGGGGAGCAACACCAAAAATTCTATTCTCTCCGTCCCACAAAACATTTGTTGTTTTGAATTTTAAAAAATTTAAGAAAAGTTATTTTAGTGTTGACTTTATTCTAAAAATGCCTTATGATGTGATAGGTAAAAGTAGATGTCATAGGTAGATTAGTATTGAAAACATGTGATGAGATAGGTAGGTTAAAAATTAGTAGGGATAATTTAATAAAAATGAGAAAAAAATTTGGAGCAAATGAAAAAAGAGATTAAAGAAGAAAGATTTTGTGAGACGAAATGAATATTTAACACTACATGATGTAACAATTTTATTTCATGAAATAAATAACATAAATAACAAAAATGTGTAAAGAAAAGTAATGGAGGTATTTAAGATTTTTTTTTTTTTTTTGCACTTATTTCTCCAGGAGATTAGACCTAGTACAGCTATAGTGTACGTCCCAAATCTTTGAATCTTTTTTCCTTACCAAAAGATTGACCAATGCGCCTGCATACCCTGACACCCACATATGAAAAGGATTTCTATCCACCCACGGTAAATAAGTTTACATTAATTTACTCCGTATTTTGTAACGTACTCCCTCCGTTTCTAAATATTTGCCACATTTGTATTCCCGAAGCAAAATATTGAGTTTTTTCAATTTATTTTATTTATATATTGGTATAGAAATAAAATATAAGATTTACATATCAAAAAAGTACATAAAAAGTTCTTCAAAATAAGAGGTGTCAAGAATATTTTATTTTATCAAATAACCAATGAAAACGTAGAAATAAACAAAAGTTCTCGCGACTGCTGAAAAAGCAAATGTTGCAAATAATTTGGGACGGAGGGAGTAGGGGTGGGCACGGGCCGGTCCGAGCCAAGATTTTTATAAACCGGACTCGGCTTGTTTTTATTGAAACGGTCCGGGCCGGAACGGGTTTTCAAAATTTTAAAATTGAAACCGGACCTAACCCGGATTGTTTGAAACGGGCCGATTCTACGGGTCAACGGGTCCGAACCTATCATGATATTAATATTAAAAAAATAAAGGGATAATAAATTAATTTAAGTCATCTAACACAAAAAAAAGCGTAAATAAAAATAAAACAATGACAAATAGGGGCACGAGAATAAAATGTACACCCCATAATTATCCAACAACAACAAAAAAAGAAGACACCCACATTTTGGCATTATAATGTCAATGGGTTCCAAAAAGAACAAAATTCACTTTTCTGTCTGCGATTGGAAGGACCGAAAGATTGAAGGGCTTAGGCGGGTATATTTCTGTATATCCGTATATTTACTAAAAATAATATTAAAAATAATATTGAGATTTAAAAAAATGGTCCGGTCCGGGTCCAAAACAATTTCAAAATAGGGAACCGGACTGACCCTAAAATCTATAAGGACCGAACCGACCCGGACCGTTTGAAATTTTTGAAAAGAGGACCTGACCCTAACCCGGACCGAACCTACCAGTCCGATTCCAACTCGCGGTTCTTGGACCCGATTGCCCACCCCTAGGAGGGAGTATCAAGAAAATTATAGTGTATCCATTTAATCTCATTGTTCATTTGAAAATCTATATCTAGATGCTGGTCCTTTAATTTATTTGTCCCCGATGCATTCTTAATAAGTACTACCTCCGTCCCGCTATATTCGTCCACTTTTGACTTTTTAAACTGTTCATCTAAGCACTTTGACTCATCAAATTCTCTCAATGTATAAGCCTAAATATAGTCATGTGTGATCTTGTTTGATTTGTCTTAACATATAGATTATTAATATATAATTTCTATAATTTTTTAATATACAAATTACAAGATAAAATGGATTAAAGAAGTGTATTGGATGATGTATAAAAATGAAAGTGGACAAATACTTTGGGACGGAGGGAGTATTTGTTTCGGGATCGGAGGACGGAAGTCCAATATAATTAGCGCGGTTTTCCACCCTGCGGTGAGTGTTAGAGCAGTGGTAATGGACATCACGCCCAACCCAACCACGTTATACTAGTTTTGACGCATAGGGGGCGTTAAACATCGCCCCCTCCATACGTTATTATGGTCCGTTAAAATTCCGGCGTCAAATTTTTGACGCAATTTGAAGGCGTTAAAATGTCTTCTCTCTTCCTTTTCTCCCTCTTTTTTCTAGTTTTCTTCTCTATAAATTAAATTATTTTTTTAAAAATTATGTTCAACAAAAATACAAATCTCTCTTTATCTATCATCATTTTTAAAAAATTATTATTCAAGTTGATGGGGAATAACCCCACGTCATCCTAGGGCTGACATCAGCATAAAATTTCCTAAGTATCAGGCTTGGACGTCTCTGCTCGGTTCAGAGCTCCGCTCGTCCTTTCTGCCCGGCTCTGCGCTCCGCTCGTCCTTCCTGCAATCCTGTCTGGCCCTGAGCTCCGCTCGTCCTTCCTGCTCGGCTCGGCCAACCAGGCCGAGCCCGAACCCCGCGACAACGACGTGAGGAAAGCGACGTTCAGCGGAGACTTGCTGAAAGCGATGGGATGAAAGGGACAAGACCAAGGGACAGGTGACGTCCGCTAAACGACGAGCCTCGATCAGAGGGCTTTGACTTAATGTATTGTACCCCCTATAAAAGGGGTGGCACCCCTCATTGTAATGGACCCGATTTTGAAATCAATATACTCCCACTTTGCATTCTCTCTCTCTAAAACTTATACTCCCTCCGTCCTATAATGATCTTCCTAGAGCACTATTCCAACTTCATGAAATTTATATTTATTTGTGTTTTTTCATGGCCTATATGATAAAATAAAATATTCTTGTCACCACTTGTTTTGTTGAACTTTTTGTGTAGTTTTTAAATATGTATGTTTTATTTTTTATTTCTATACCAATATTTAAATAAAATAGATTGAAAAAACTTGGGATTTTTCTTCGTTTTGCGAACCGGGAAGATCATTATAGGACGGAGGGAGTATTATTTTATACTCTCGGTGGTTTATAGCCATCACAAGTATTTTATTTATTTTTCACGAAGGTAATTTTTTATTTAATGAATGTAATTTTTCATAATGTATGTAATTTTTTATTTAATGAATGTAATTTTTTATAACAAATGTAATTATTTTACTTAATGAATGTAATTTTTTATAATGAATGTAATTTTTTAATGAACTATTCTCGTTTCAATTATTTAAATAATTAAATATTTAAATTTTATTAATTTAATCTTAGAAGATGTGTGTTTAAAATGTAAAAAATAAAGGTTTGAAGCCCAATTTGAAGCCCCGGAGCTTCAAACCCATTTTTCACTAAAACTGTGAGATAAGTTAAAGCTGACGTAACAGAGAGAGAAGGTTTGAAGCTCCGGTTTGAAGCCCCGGGGCTTCACGAGTATTTCCCGTGCCCTTAGTCCTCCATCACAACTTTGAAGAAATAATTATACTACACAAACTTATAGGTTTTTAAATAGAATTAAATAATTGATTGAAATCAATATTGTAATATGGATTAGTCCAAGACTCCAAGTCATGGCATATTTTTACCTATAATGGAGGGATAAAGCTATTTGTACACCAAAATTTGTATCTCATTTTGTACCCCATTGATATACACTGATATTTTGTGCTAGTGTGATACTAGTGTGATGATTTACATTGAAATTAATAATGTAACATTTTGTGCGAGTGTGAACTATTGTAATACCATATGTTTTTATTTCTCAATGTAGTACCACTAGTCACTGCATGTCATTGTTCAATATTTCTCAACGTAGTACCGCCAACCAATGTTATTGTTCAAGTAAATGTCCACTAGATATTATACAAACTAAATGTCCACCTGGACATTATACTGTTCCCGCAACTAGATAATATTCAAGTGCTCCCTCCATTCTTGAAAAGAATTCCAATTTTGACCAAGTGCTAAAATAAGGAAATGTTAAATTGTAGTTGACATCCAATTTTGGTCTTGTTGTGATGTGTAAAAGTAAAATGTGATGGATAGATTATTAGGAAAAAAATATGATGTGATAGACAGGTTACGAAAAAATAGAAGCAAAAGTGGTTTTTTAATACTCTCTCCGTTCCACAAAACCTTTTCTCTTTCGTTTTTTTGCTTTCCATAAAACACTTCCACTTTCTATTAAAAAACAACTTTTACCCCTATTTTTTCATACCCTACCTATCACATCATACTTTTTACTAATAATCAAACTATCACATCTTACTTTTTCCCATCACATCAGGGGCAAAATTGGAAAGTCAACAAAAATTACACATTTCTTATTTTTGCCCAAAGTCAAAATGAGAATGGTTTTGTGGAAGGGAGGGAGTAGAAAGTGGAAGGGTTTTTATGAAAGAGAAAAAAATGAAAAAGAAAATGTTTTGTATAACAGAAGGAGTGCTATTTAGGGGGAAAAAATTTAGCACTACATTGAAAACTGAGATATGTTTTAGTACTATTTATTGCAAATTTCACAAAAAAGATTTCTCATTTTCTTTTTGAGACGTTCCAAAAAAGAATTCTCTTTTCAATTATGGAATTTTTTTTGGAAATATTTACACTAAATAACACTAAAATTTAGGTCATTTCCCTAAATAACATTTAAACTGTTTTATCCCTAAATAGCATTTAATAATGTCCATAACGTCTAGTGATGACGAATATTTACTTGAATAATGACTAATAGATAATGACTAAAAGTGCTACATTGGAAAAAAACACATGTAATGCTTTTTAGAAAAAGTCATTATGTTTTAATGTTATTTACGTAAAATCCTCTTTTTTGTGGCCTAGTATCTTTTACCTGTTTGCCTTACTTTGAACCTCAAAATATTATTTTTCTTAAACGTTGTGCCAAACCTAAATAAAATGTTTTTTTGAGGAGGGAGTAGGTTTACTATGATTTTCTTGGACTTAGACATAAAATTTAAATAAATGTGTTTTGGAGTTGGGAGGATAAGGAGGGTATTCCCTATATACTCCCTCCATTCGGAAATGTTCTTTCCATTTGACTTTTCACGGTCTACAATATTGCACTTTGACCATTAATATCTATATTTATACATAGCTATATTTTATTAAAAAAATTGATATTTGATAACTACATTTCATTATGAATATATTGATATTAAATTTACATCATAATACAATGTGTTTTTTCTACAAATCGTAGTCAAAGTTTATAAACTTTGATCAAGAAAAGTCAAATGTGAAGAATATTTCCGGACGGAGGGAATATAAATTAAAGCCACATATGCATGGAACGACGTGACGTAGTAGGAGTAGTTGCAACTAAATTAAATTCGTTGTCATCTCTAAATTAATAGCAGACTTTGTGCTTATGGATGAGATAATAATATTCGATTCGCACAATTAACACAAAGTATCAAATGGATCGGATGTGTTTCTGTTAGTTTGAGAATTCATTGGATGCCCGAATATGCAGTTTGTTCCGATTCGCTTGTGCGTGTCAAGAGGCATTGGTCGGTCGGGTCGGAGAAGATGTATATATAAAGTTGATCGAATAATCTTTTTAATTTGACGACTCACTTTCAAATTAATTGAGACGAAATTAAAGAAAGACCGTAACAATCTGTTACTCCCTTCGTCCGTAAATATTCTTCTCATTTGACTTTTCTTAGTCAAAGTCTGTAAACTTTAACTATGATATGTGAAAAAAATACATTGTATTACGATATAACTTTAATATGAATATATTCATTTTGAAATATAGCTTTCAAATATCAAATTTTTATAAAATATATCCATACAAAAATAAAGATATTAATGGTCAAAGTACAATCTTGGAGATCGTAAAAAATCAAATTGGAAGAATATTTCCGGACGGAGGGAGTAATTAATTAGTCCTTCGAATAATAAAAGAGGTGCCCTACATACAAACATTACTCCATCCGTCCTAAAACTTTCTTCACAATTCTCCTTTTTCTCCGTTCTAAAACTATCTTCCCATTAGAAAAAAAGATGACAAATGACATTAATACCCTCATGTATTTATAACAATTATCTTCTAATTCTATATTTTGAATGATTGAAAAAAAATCAAAAAATCTTTTTAATTAAAGAGGGTAAAATTTGAAGTCAAAGTTAAAAATTAAAAATGGGGAAAGATCAAACTGAGAAGAAAATTTTAGAACGGAGGGAGTATTTCACTATATATTGTCCATGCATCCACTAGATGCATAACATGTTGGGAATCATACTCCATTCATCTCCGAATAGTGCAAAAGAACAATCTCTTTAAGACGAAATCTATACATGCGTGTCGATCTCATGTATGTTCACAATGCTACAAACAACATTCTAATTAATTGAACTCAAGGGATACGATGACACACATCACACTTACGTCATTTAGTATAGGGGTCAATTTTGCTACACGAAATTAACGAAATTAGAATAATTGAGTTGGAAGTTGAAATTCTATATATACAAATAGAATTAAATTTTTTGATTCCAATACATTTTTTGACACTACCAATTCCAAATTTTATAGAGACCTACACTTAGCTTGTAGGTGTTGGGCTCGGTCGAGCACATGCTGGCCC